ACTGTGCTGCAGAATCTGTACTGTAAGTGCTTCAGATACTGAGCATCATAATAGTTTTCAAAGAGATTTCCTTGCTATCTTTAATTCATAAGTCATATTTCTGTTAAGTTAATAACATGGATGTTGGAGTCAGGGAGTCTCCATTTCCAGGCTCTCCACACCTGGGTTTTACTGAAACTTGTACTTCTTCCCCATTTTTATTTCCTTGTTGCCATCTCTCTTTAAGCTCTCCTGTAAAACAGGTTCGTAACAGCGCGATTTGTTGCTTCACTAAAAGCAGGGGTGTAAGTTTGGTTTCCTCTACTTATATCTCTAGAGTCTCAGTTCTCCCCTTTTCACTCTCTGAGGCCCTTCATATATTTTAAATATTTTGAAACCACTGCAAAAGTTAGAAGTTTTCTGAGCCTGTAGTACAGGTACAGGACTGTAGTCGCAGCACAGACAGATGACCCTGTTACTGATAAACCACAGCACCTTGCAGATAAAAAAGGTCAGTATCAGACTCAAACATTTGATTTAAAACATTAAGTGGATAGATAACATGCTACAAAGAGGGGGTTCACAAGATACTTTCCTGATATGCTATTGATGAAAAGGGTTGTCATACAGAGGCTTTATGGGGTTGGGTTAGCCATGGTATTATGGGCGCACTTCTAAAGATGCTCTCCCCTAGTAGCTTAATTTGCGTAACTAGAGCAAGAGCTTATTCATTGCTTCTCTCACTGTTTTTCAGTTAGCTGCTTATGTGCTGTTCTCTTTGGAACACTATTTCCAGCTGTGGCTTTAGCGGAATAGTACAGAAACAGTGCAAAAGTATTCCTTTTAGCTGAGGTTTGACAAACAACAATAGAATAGACAAGACAGCACCAAAAAATCCCTCTAGGCATACATAGCATCCCAGAAACATTTGGTTTCCATCTTCAACTGCACATTACAGACAAAACGGATGTGTTTTAAACAAAAAAAGGTCTGTTCAGTTTCACTCATGCAGAAATGCTAACACTACCCCACTGTCAACTGTTTGAATCAAGAAGGGTAAAGTCAGGAAGCAGCATTTCCTTAAGAATACTGAGATACTGGCAATCAATTCATTAAAAAAATACTAGTTAAACAAGTGTTGTTCCTGCTAGGTTACTATCAGGCTAGCATAAACACTGAGCTCTGAATTCATGCCTGGACTCTTTGGAGACAAAATATTATTTCTTTTAATCACCATCACATTCTTAGGGAGGAGAGGAGGATATTAGCTAGGTGTCCTTTTTCTTTAGGACATTACCACAATGCCATTTCAGACTATTTTCAAAACACAATTGGATAACATTTTGCAAGTATCTCTGAACAAAGGAAGACTGATGCTTCCAGAAAATGCCAAGTTCCGTTTCTGAAGCAGTAGTGCTATTAAGTACACAATTAGTATACTTTTCAAATGCTTCATATACATCTAATAAATATAGGATATCCCACTCCTAAGTATACCAGACACATCCACTGCTTCAAAAGCTCAGGAGTGGCCACATTATGCTTTTCACTGGACAGCCCAAACTGATTAATCCCCATAATGAAAAGTCAGACATATTTAGATTTTTGCATTGCTCCAACCAGAATCTAATCTATAAATAAAATATTCACAAGTGCCTACATGACTAAGAAGTCTAAGTCCCATTTTCAAAATTGAATTATACACTACAGAGTCTAATTTTTAATGAGGCGATAATACTTTAATAGTAATAGGATACAGCAGTAATAAAGTTGAATATGGGTACAATTTTCAAAAGCATCTAAGTGACTTAGGCCCAAAGCATATATGTCTAAAAGTCATTAGCATACAGGTGATGTACCAGATTCTACACCTATTTATGCGAACACAACTTCATTGAAGAAAATGGTGTTGCACTGGTCTAGTACAACAGATTTTGTTGTTAATGTTCTATACTAAAGTAGGCTATTTTAAATAGGTGACACATTTTCATTTGGACCTTCACTTAGTATTATGATTCAGTACCTGACTATTTGGAGATTCAAGAACATGGAATACCACTTTCATGTCTATAATCTAAACCATACTAAATCTTTCGGATTACCCTGTAAAGATAATTTCCCTATATCACCCTGAAAAGATCATTTTATGATTTTAGGCTGTAAAAGGTGAAGCAAGAATTATTTACAACCTCTGAGCTTGTGGAATTTTGTTGTTTAAAGTCTTTGACAGATTTTTGAGGAAAAGTAAAGATCAGATACTTTGGGTACTTTTCTCTGTTGATTTAGACAGAATTTGATCTGCTTTGAGTCAGATATAGCAAACTATAGTAACTTGTCTTTTTAAAGGCAGGCAGCATGAACTCATGAATATTGCTTGGTATTTGGAGTCAGGAGACTTTGGCTTTGTTCCAAAGCTTTGCCATTGACTTGCTGTGTGATCCTGAGCAAGTCACTTTGACCCAAAGTTTGAAAAGCATCCACTGATTTTGGGTACCCAGTCTGAGACACCTAAGCATGTTTAAAAATCAAGCCCGAGAATCTACAACGGCAACTGAAACCAACTGAGATAGCTACAGATACTTTGTTTTAATTGCTAGTTGACACTCCCTCTTAAAAACTGCCATGACACGCCTATATTTTACCAGAATTTTTCTGCAGAACACCACTGAAATGAATCAGACAGTAGTGTGCATTTGGCATGTACACCTGCAACAGGCAAGTGTGTTTCCTACATGTAGCAGGTATAGCATTTAGTAACAAATGGGTTAATGGCTAAAGCCATGTTTCAGTACCCAGGGACAGCATACTGAAATATGCTTAATTACAACCTTGACAGAAGCAAAATAATATCATGGTCTGAAGCACTGCCAAAGCAAACATGATACAAAGGTCAGATGGAAAGAACATCAGGATTCCGGTTAATTAGAAGCACATCAACAGTGCTAGAGTATTGCTGAAGCAGGGCTGCTCCATACTGCACAAGGGATAAGTCTTAGCTTCTCAGCAGCAAAACAGCTCAAACAATACCATGAACATTTTCTTGCCCTTTTCATCTATTTTGTGATGGCATCCTCAAGTTATCACTGTTTCCTACAGCACAGGATATTAACTTCTACAGAAGTAGGTGTCACTTGCATCACAGAATTAGAGAATCATTCTATCTTAAATCCAGCTGCATATTAAATTGGTTATATGTACATATTTAACAAAGCTAAGGAGGAGATGGGTTGCAACACAGACACCACAGACTGTTTTCTGGTTTTCATTTCAGAAGTTCTTGCTTTTGTGTAGTGTCACCAAACACCCTCCCATCTCTTACCTATGAAATTATTTCCTAATTCATACAGGGCCATCAGCTGGAAAGTGTGGTGAACTTGAGAGAGTCAGGGGAATTCACACAGCACTTTGCAAAACACTGACGATATACAGAGTGCCTTTTTATAGAAACCTCACAGACTCATGCACACTGCATCGAGGAGCCAAGATGACTCAACACTTTGAAGCAAATTGTTCTGTCCTTTTTACTGAAGTAATTTTTCTTATGTGCCCAGCATTAAACTTCTCATTACTTGCAAGTTACTTTACCCACTGCCTCATTCACAGATAAAGAAGGATGGCACTGGAAGCACATTCAAGAGATCGGGGTTCAATACCTGCTACCACAGACTCCTTATGTGACTGTCTCCCATTTCCACCCAATGAATTAAACTGTGGGTGTACTCATTTGTTTTACTTTCTTACTGGATGTGTGTGGTCTGAGGACCACTGGATTAATCAGGTTCTCATGTTTTCATTCTCTTGTCTTCCTTCCATATTTTTCATTAAAATTGATGTTTCAAGACCATTTATAGGAAACAGACATATGACATTAACCCTGGAGCCTTTATCTCAAAAAGTTATAAGACAAGAAGAAAATGATATGAGAGCAAGGTATTTTAATTCCCATACAAATCTCTCCTGAGCAAAATTCTTTCATTGCCAATTCTAAGTAACTACCATGTTCGGAAAGAAATGCATTATAAATTAAATCCTATATTCATATACAACATTTTCTCCTCTATGTTTAACAATCATGATTTCTACTGGGGGATATAAGGTGTCTATTCCACATAACACAAACCAGATTATTTAGCACGTCATGAGGCCCTTGTCCAGGATTCACCTCAGGACAGAGATGAATGTTATGCACATATGAAACATTTCAAGCCACGATATTTTAGTACTGTCCCACCCAGAAAGGCTTTTTTCCTTTAGTTCACCTGGAACTGCTAGGTGGTGTGAAGCTTATACAGCAACAAGGCCATGAGCTGTGACATACGGTCTGATCATTTATTACATGCAGTCACCAACAGGCAAACACAATATAACAGTACATCAGTTGGAAGAGAGATGAATACCATGATTTAAAAAAAGATAGCAGCACAGCTAACACACAGACTGGGAAACTAAGTACATTTTTTAAAAATGCTAGGGGGACACATTATGCTACAACAGTGGTTCCCAAACTTTAACAGCCCGCGGACCCCTTTCATTACATTGTGAAATCTTGTGAACCCCCTCCTAAAAATGAATATTTCCAGGGATTTAAGTTTAAATTTCCTCCCATTCCGTGAGGCTCCTGCTGCTGGACCCCGTTGACCGCCCCGGTCAACTGAGCTCAGGCTGCAGGTCCCGCTGACCGCTGGGGCTTGGGCTGCCAGCCCCAACTACCTGGCGCCGCTCTCCCTGGGGCTCGGGCTGCCAGCCCCAACTGCCCTGCTCCGCTCTCCCTGGGGCTCGGGCTGTCTGCCCTGCAACTGGGTCCCACCTGCTGCCTCCAGTGTCCGGGGTCCTCTGGCTGCCATGAGTGAAATTTGTCTGGAGAACCTCCTGTAACGTTCGGAGAACCCCCAGGTGTTCGCGAACCCGTTTGTGAACCACTGTGCTACAACACCCTTAACTATCAAGGAGCTAGTAGGAAGGAGAGAAGAAACTGCGCTTTTTACAGCTTTTACCCACACTTGATTTTCTTGACATCTCACCTTTTTCTGATTAGCTGGTGATAAGCTTCTATAGAGCTTCCTGCCCTGTTTGCCAGCATTCCAAATGGTGAAAGATGTCCAGTGCTTGAGGGCTCTGTCTTCCAGAAACCTGACTCGGTGATTCCAGATGGTTCCCCTGGGGAATTGGAAAAGATGTGAGTCTGGCCCCTAAATGGATTAACAATGTAAGAAATAGCACTGTCAACACAGACTCACTCTTGATGCAAAAAGCACACTGAAAGATCACACTAGCAACAATTCCAGTGGAAATTAATTCTGTGGCTGGAAAAAAAAATCTCTTGTTTAAACGTTAAACTTGTTGTCTCTGCCTCTGGGGGTGGGAGACTATGTTCTATTTACAGTATTCAGTTCATATGCCATGCTCTTTCAATTCACACTGAAAGATTTTGAACACACTAGAGTCACAACCTACATGTCTTCTAAAGCCTAAAATATATTCATGAGATACACAGTAACTTCTCACTTAATGTTTTAGTTATGTTCTTGAAAAATGCGACTTTAAGAGAAACGATGTTAAGCGAATCAAATTTCCCATAACAATTAATGTAAATGGGGTGGAGGGGGAAATTTTTTTCATCAGACAGAAGACATTATATGCATATACAGTATAAATTTTAAACAATTTAAAACAAACAATGTAATACAGGTATAAGTTTTAAACAAATAATTTAATACTGTACTCAGCAATGATGATTGTGAAGCTTGGCTGAGGTGGTGGAGTCAGAGGTTGAAAGAGGGTGGATCATCCGGCTGCTCCTCTTGCTGTTCTTTCCAAAGTGCCAAGGGGTGCTCAACCCAAGCTCTGCTTCCACTCCACTCCTTCCCCCGAGGCCCCACCTCCACCCCCCGCCCCACTCCTGCTCCACCCCCTTTCCCCGAGCACGCCATATCCTCAAAGGATGGGTATTTATGTTACTAGAGAGAGTGTGCATGTGCACACACGTGTATATACACCCACCCACACATTTTTATCTGGATGGTACACACATATAAAGTTGTTATTGACAGGTTTTGACTACCATGATCTCAAACTTCTGGAATAATGTCATTCTTACCCCCTTGTTCTTAGGCCTGTACAGCCTCCCTATTTGCTCCACACCCCAACCCTTTTTTGGCAATTTCCTTCAATAACTGAGGGTGGAACATGCAGTCTCTGCCCTGAAAGATATTGTTAATTGGTCTTCCAAAAATGGCCCCCACTTTTCCCAAGAAACTAACTCAGGGCCCAAACCTGTGAGGTTCTGAGCACCTTCAACTACACTTGAGAGAGCTCAGCACCTCATGGCAATGGACAGTAAAATGAGACAGGTCTACAATGGTCCAAAGCTTTTTGAACTGGGTCTCAAAATATCCAGTAGTGGAGCCTACTGCCATTATATACTCATTCTACACAGCATGAATGTTACTGTTTTAGGATTCAGAGTAGCAGCTGTGTTAGTCTGTATCCGCAAAAAGAAAAGGAGGACTTGTGGCACCTTAGAAACTAATAAATTTATTTGAGCATAAGCTTTCATGAGCTACAGCTCACTTCATCGGATGCATGCAGTGGACTTTAGGATTTTAGGAGTAATAACAAGAGACTTTGACTTGAGGTAATTCTTTTATAAGATGATTTTTTTAAGATAGCTCACAAAGATGTTAGGATTTTTAAAAAAACATACTATTACAATTAGGAATACTTAAGTTTGAAAACCATACTGCTGAGCTGAATCCAGAGATGAAAGTGGGCCGGTGTTGCATACTGGTAAGAAATGGCCACTGGTACGGGCCTGTGCATAGCTGACGTTAAAGCCCCTTTTGCCCCCCAAGGGCCAGTGGGGTGGGGCCTGGTGATTTATAAGGGCCTGGGGTTCCCTGCTGCTGCTGCCAGGCAGGTGCCCTAGGCCCTTTAAATCGCTGCCGGAGCCCCAGGCAGCGCAGGCCGGGCAGTGCTGAAGGGCTGGCCGGGGGAGGCTGACCCGCCCCAACCCCACCCCTTATAGGGGCCCGGAGCCTGGCTCCTGTACCGGTAAGACTTTTAAGTTACTTTCACCCCTGGCTGAATCAAAATAATTGAAAAGACATCTGGATAGTGAAAAGCTATATTTAGAAAACTGAAATGTTGATAGTTCTCCTGAATATTACGGTATATAAAATTCCTTCTAAATAATAAACTCCTACATTTCCCTTGACTAGTTTCTAAAACCCTAAAGTGTTCTAATTGAAAACATGACTCAGATATCAAATGTTCTGCTTATATTTAGGTTTTCCACCTAACTATAATTTCTTTCCATGTTACTTAAATATAAAACCACTCCTTAGCCTTTACCATCACCTTGGTATTTTTTTTTTTTTTTTTTACATATAAGAGCCTCAACGTTGCCTTTCAAGATGTTGTGCCTCTGAGCACCGCTAAAATATAGCAGAACTAGTTGCACCATATAAATACAGCATTTTTCCATGTACTAATTTCCCACAAGTTAACACCGTGGACATTTTCTAGGGCTTTTAATGGATTGATATTTTAGAGTTTTAGATATTTTAGCCTTAAGAAGTCCAAAAATATCTCAAAGTGCAGAACTGAGGGATAAAGGAGCTTTTAGTGCTTCTACTCTGCTCTTTATTTGAAAAGGTGGACTTAGCCCTGCCATTCCCAACAGTTACAATGTTATTCTTTAAATGCAAGTGAGTGAGGCTACAGGAAGGGAGGGGGGGGGGGGTGAGAGAGAGAGATCAGGGCAGAGTTATTTTCTTCTTGAGCAGGATTTCTCTTTCTAAATGATACTCCCAACAGAACATGTTTGGTGTCATAAAATACAGCTCCCTGTTACTAGACTGTTTCAATGAGTGAGTTACAGTGGTATAGTATTAAATATCTTGAGAGTCACAGTAACTTCTTGCATTAAAATGGTTTCTTTAAAATTATCTACGATGAAGAGTTGAGCTATACCATAATCCTTTCTGAGTTTAGAGTGTGACTCACTTTCTCTTTTAAGTGCAATTTTGAACCACACCCAACTTTGCCAAAACCAAATTGACTGACCAAATTTCTCAGGCCTAAGGAGAGTGGGTTGTTGTTTGTTGAGGGAAGATGAATTTTGATGTTTACTGGACAAGGAATTTGTGACTTGTTCTTTTTGGCAGGGGAGACAATGAGGGACGGGACCAACATAGCTTAAAATGGTCTGGTCTAGAAACTGCAGATGTGATTTGTTCATTTATTCTCAATGAGATTCGTGCCCTGGAGGGTTTTTTTTTTTTTTGGTAGGCTGGGTGATTAATTCTCAAATTGTTCATTTTAAGATTTTGTGCACATCTGGGAACTCTGAATTCTCTACAGACTCTGCCAGGCATATGCTTAACTTGAAGTGCTCTGATAAACCTGCAGGATCAGCCTGACAATGATTTGTTAAAATCTAAAGCCAAACCTGCCAGGTTGCAGGATGTGAAGTTCAGCTTGAAGCAAGCTTTGAGGAAAAAATGGTTACTTACCTTCTCATAACTGTTGTTTCTTGAGCTGTGTTGCATATGTCCATTACACTGTAGTTGTGTGCGCCTCTTGTGCACTAGTACCAGAGAGTTTCCCTTGCAATACTTGTAAGGGGGGTCCTCCACACACCACCAAGCTCCTTGTGTCTCAAAGTGAGGGAAATAAAAGGTGGTGTTGCCCTGCTCTTCCTTCAGTTTCTTCACAGTGGGAACCAATGATAGCCTCTGTGATGTTCGGGAAGGAGAACGGGTGTGTAATGGACACATGCAACACATTTTGAAGAACAGCAATAGCAAGAAGGTAAGTAACCATTTTTTTCTTTGAGTGCTAGCATGTATCTATTACTCTGTAGGTGACTCCAGGCAGTGGGTCTTAGAATCACATCAGAAGAGGGACTGTAGGACTACCCTGCCAACATTGGCATCTTCCCTAGTTGCAGCAGACAATGTGCAATGTCTGGTGAATGCATGAATCGAAGGCCATGACACTGCTCTACAAATGTTCATAATTGGGATGTTTGCCACAAATGCTTCCAAGGTCGAATGTGCTCTGGCTGAGTGTGCCATAAACTTGCCAAAAGGCATTATTCCTTTGGCAGCATAACACACTGTAATGCAGCTGGTGATCCATTTTGAGAGTCCCCAAGTTGTGACTGGATGACCTCTCATGTTCTGCGTAAGAAACAAAGAGCTGGAAAGAAACCCCAAAAGGCTTTGTCCTATCTAGGTATCAAGCCCATGCTCAACGAATATGTGGAGTCTTCACTCTCCCTTGTACATATGTGGCATCAAGAAGAAAACTGGGAGGCAGATGGACTGATTCAGGCAGAAATCAGAGACCAAGAGAAATTTAGGATATGATCTAAGCTGAACCTTGTCCTTGAACAAAACTGTATCTAGTGGATGCATAGTCAATCTAAACCTTTCAGGAACCTGGCCATGATTGGGTGAGTGAAAACTTTTCTCCCCTCTATGCAAGGGTGCCGCCAGATGCAAAACCATAGTCCAGAATTCTCAATTAGACTGAGTCGGGAAGACACTAAGAGAGCCCATCCAGATGGCAAAATGTCTCCACTAGGGTCAGTAGCCTTTGTTGAAGGTTTTCTGCTATTAAGGAGAAAATTCTGGACTGCCACCAAGCAGCGTGCCTCTTTTGCATTCAGTCACTAATTAATCATACCATGAGGTGCAGCACCCAACCCTGGTTCTGTATTTGGAGGTCTCTGGTTATTGGTAACAGCATTTTTCAGCAGACAGTTTGTGGACATCTGAATACCACATTTGTCTCAGTCAGGTGGGAGCTATAAGGATCATTCTGCCATGATCTTGCTTGAGCTTGATAATAACCCTGGGAATCAGGGGAACTGGTGGGTATGCACAGAGGAGGTCCTTGTTTCATGGAAACAGGAAAGTGTTTGATAAAGATCAGGGGCTGTGATGCTCTGGTACAGGACCGGGAATGCTTCCTGTTCTGCCAAGTGGCAGACACATGTATTTATGGATAATCTCCTATGCAGAATATCCAAACTAAGATATCCCTTTGAGGGACCAGTCATAGGCAGCGCGTGACTTTTACATTTGGGGAAGCTGGGTGCGAGCGCCAGAAGCTCCCTAGAAGTGGGAAGAGCTGCTGGTGCCTGGACTGGG